CGGTGGTGTTACCGGTGATGTCAATGGTGTTACCGGTGATGTCAATGGTGTTACCGGTGCTGTCAATGGTGTTACCGGTGGTGTCAATGGTATGATCAGTGGTGTCAGTGGTGTTACCGGTCGTGTTGCCGGTGGTGTGAATGGTGTTACCGGGGTGGTGTTACCCATGGTGGTGCTACCCATGGTGGTGTTACCGGGGTGGTGTTGCCGGGGTGGTGTTACCGGGGTGGTGTTGCCGGGGTGGTGTTACCCATGGGGGTGTTACCGGGGTGGTGTTACAGATGGTGTCGTCAGTGGTGTTACCAATGGTGTCCGGACAATGTTTCAACTTTCATTGGGGTTACCGATGGTGCTGCAATTGTGTTACCAACTCTATTACTGATGGCGTCTTACTGAGGCGTGTTACCGATGGCATTCTCAATGCCGTTCCCTCCTATCTCAGTCCAAGCGGCTTGCATCGCTTGCAGGCACGCTCTTTGTGGTCCGCTTCCTTTCTCCACACGTCAGGCCTCTTTGCTCTGTACTGCAGAATTGTTTGTTGAGTTAGGTCAGTGTGCCTGCGCCCAGCCTACTTCCTACACAGCTACTGTCTGCCTATTAATTGACAATGCAACTGTTGACATCAGCAGCCCACGAAGTACTTGAAGATGTCACCCAATGCAGACCATCGCCAATACCAGGTATGTGCCCTCACATCATCATCATCATCATCCTTCTCTCTCCCCCTCGACTTACACCCACGTCTTCCCTCTGTACACCCGAAGACCACCACTGCGCCTCACTGTAGTCCAAGCCTCAGCCAGCTATGGAGGCTGGGCTATGGCGCTGCCCTTAGCAGCGCCCTGCTTCTTGCACGACCGCACGCGCGCAACACCTTGCCCTTAGCGCACAGCAGCACATGAGCCAATGCTCCAGCAGCGCTGCCGCACGAACTGGCAAGTGCCTGAACGAGTCTCCAGGCAGCGAGCTCTTTCCTATATGGAAAGAGTCTGCCTTCCTCGGCGGCCTGGCTGGGCTGGGCCTCTGCCTAGAAGCTTTCGGTAGGCCCCAGGACGCTGTGCCTCTGTTGCAGCTGCTGGGCCTCGTTTGGTTGGGCCTCCCAACTGTCTGTGTATGAAGCTGCAATTCTGGCCCACGGCCTGCATTTCAGGAAAGGCCTGGAAGGCCGTGAAATGTCTTTGCTGCTCGGCCTGTGTTTCCCTCAACCAACTGGCGCGTCACAACTGCCTGGACCCCAAATCCGAAATCGACATCAATGGGCCTCTTAAGATTTGTTAGGCCCACCTTCACTTAGGGCGGGCACATCTGTAACAGGGGCCCCTTAGGCCTGTCGAGGACCCAGATCCTCGCACATGTAAAATAATAATACAAACAACTTTTGTGCAGTAACCCGCACTCAGCAGAGGCCGGGCTGTGTGACCACGCACTGCCCGGCCAGCCCAGCGTCTGGCCAGTGAGACCCAGCGCTGGACTGGGGAAATTCAAAGGTCAAAGTCAACTGTCGGGTCGCAGGTACTGTACCCAAGTCCACGAACAGATACACACATGTGTTTGTATGCAGGTACCAGGCCAAGACATCGGACCAAGGGAGAATCGGTCGCAGACCGATCCGGGCCGTCGCAACATTAAGATCTTGACGGCACAGGACTGCTGCACCGGGGGCATTGACCCCGAGTCAACGCTACTTAAGGTTGACTCCTGGCTTTGACATCATTCATTCTGTCGCGAT